ACCTCCGGAGAGGTGTGTTGCCAAGGAGGACAAGGCGGTGCAAAGCCGACCTTGAGGAGCCTCATCTGTTGCCTTTGTTGGCCTGAGGGCCCCTTCCAGGTGGGATGCTGCCAACTGGACAAGGGGCCTACGTGTGACACAGGGAGGGGGCCCTGGCTGCCCAGAGCTGCCCAGGAGCGTGTCTCTGAGGCAGACCCCTCATCCCCCACTGGGCCTCTTCCCACCCAGCCTGCCTGCCCCTCACCCTAACCAGCTGAGTCACCCCCTCCTCTGATCTCGCTGACCTCCCTCTCTGCATGGGCCCATCCAGAGGGCCCGTGGCCTACAGGGCCTCCTCAGTGAGGTCTGACTCCTCCCACCTCTTCTCTGGTCCTTTCACGGTCCACGCCAGACTGGCCTCTCACATGCCCTCAGCCTACCCCACTCAGCCTCACTCGCGCCCTCAGCCTCACACTCAGCCTCACTCTCACACACACAGCCTCCCACCCGCATCCTCACTCACACCCTCATCCTCACACTCAGCCTCACTCACACACACTCAGCCTCCCACCCGCATCCTCCCTCACACCCTCACTCACACCGTCATCTTCACACTCAGCCTCACTCACGCCCTCAGCTTCACACTCAGCCTCACAGTCATCATCACACTCAGCCTCACACTCGGCCTCACTCACACGCCCTCAGCTTCCCCCCTGAGCCTCACACTCGGCCTCCTACACTCCCTCAGACACACTGAGTAGGCTGCTGTCCTGGTACCGCTTCACTTGCTGTCTCTTCTGGAGGCCAAGACTATCCTGATGCCACAACCTCCCCAGGCCCCCACCCACAGGCACCCCTATTCATGCCTGATCTGCCTTTTTCAGAGTCCTCACCGCCATCTGCCATTACATCCTGCCCAGCCCCATCCCAAGCATGCCTGCACCCCACTGTGGCTCCAGCCTAGGCCCATCTGGCACAGTGTCAGTGCCCAGTGGAGTGGACCAGTTGCCCTCCACCACCAGCGGCCTGGCCTGGCCTGGCCCACCTCCACCTTGTCTGGTCATGAGGTGTACTGTCTAGTAGAGCTGTTAGGCTAGAATGTTCAAGAAACAGACATGCTTGGCACACTTTTCCCAAGAACAAAAAATGTGTTAGCTAAATGGCAATTCTGTCATCCCCCAACTTCCCTCTTAATCATCAGTTCTAGACACCTCCCACAGTGGCCCTTCCACCTTGTTCTGGCTGTCATGGGTGTACTCTATTCAATCATGTTATCTCCTGGGGTGGAGCATGAAGATGCGGGAGATTGATAAGGGGATTTCATGACGCCCTGGGGGGACAGTGTGGGAATCAACCAGCTGGAGGAGCTACAACTCAAAAACAAGGGGACCACGTCCCGAATTGCTCAGCACCTGATCCTCCCAGCAGCCACGAGGTGGGACCACCTTTCCTGGGGGTCCTGAAATGCAGGCTTTCACCAGAGGCAGTTACTGAGAGGTAAGTGTGCAATATTCCTTTAGCCAGATTCCACCGTCTCCCAGATCACACACGAGTATTGAGAAATCATTGCTGAAATGGCTACATCGATTTAAATTTAATTAAAAGGCGTCAGATCACACAGTAACATGGTAAAGTACAATGACAACCACAAGCGTGCTGGTCATTTCATATCATAATCCCAGTTTTGTTCCCTTTTCTTATGGCGGCAAGAGGAGCGAGCAGCCGAGCCTGCCACATTCTCCTTTACTCTTGAGGGAGACAAGAGCTTTCTTGCTCCTGAAAGAAAACTCAATTTATTTGTCTCCTTCGGGCATCGGAAATGTTAGCCGCAGATGGGAGAATCCTAGGGACTTTTAGTAATTTAGATGAAAGGGCATCAGGAGTGAATCCACTAGTCTGTGTTTGGACAGTATTTTTGAATGA